GTAATTTTTAAGTTTTATTCTACAGCTACTTTAGCACCTATGGTGTATAATTATCATGAGGACAACACACTTGAAAAGAATCTTGTTTCTTAGATTTTAATGTCCTAGATATTTRTTATATTTTCCCATTTTAGTTTCAGTGCTTTTATCATGAGAGGTTAAAGTTAAATCCAGAATCCATTCCTCCAGCAAACATTTATAGTATGTTATATAACTGAAGGTACAAAGGTTAAATAAGATATGGTATCTTCCCTTAAGGAATTCTCAGCTCGTTGGGAGCAGAAGATCAATGTCAATAGTGTATGGTAGTTGTAAAGTTAGATTCAATTACCAGTTAGGGTGGGTGGTAAGGGCACCTCACCAGGGATCTTGCTGGGTGTTTCAATACTTGTTATAAAGTACAAATAGGAGTAATCCAGGGGTAGAGAACAGAGAAGCTAGACACATTATTTCCAGAATCAGGGTTAGGATGATGGGCAGGAGAAACTACATATGCTGTATATTGTTTTGAGAGTAACTTGATGGAACATGGAATGTAGCCAGCTTGGTTTTGTGTGGGGCCTTTGTTTAGGAGCTCAGATGTTATGTTACCAGTCTACTGGCTTGCTGTAAAACAGGAAGAAACATCTGTAAGTCACTAGGTGCTTGGAAACCCTCATGTACATTCTGATAAAAACACTGGAGAAAAACAGTAGGAGATCATAGAAGAAATAAGAGTCCCCAAATGTAAGTACTGTTTGTGAAGTCAGAGGCCTGGGGTGTCACAATTATTTGGATCTGAGGATTGCAAGGGGGAGGGGGGTAGAAATGAGCAGATTACTAGTACAGGAAATAGTTTGTGATCCTTCYGCCCACTGAGCTGTGAGATTATGAATGAGCTGGTTGAGGGCAAGACACATACATGTCCAAGTTGACTAAGAACCCACCTGATGAATTATTAACTGAATAAAATAAGAATTGCCTTAAAATAGTTTAATCAACTCTGATGACAGTTCTGTTTTATGATTTTTCTTCTAAATAATGAAACAGAATATTTCTTGATTTAAGAAATGACTTAGTTTAAAAGATAAATTCAAACACACGTCTCATRTAGATACACAAGTAAAATAACACTTCTTTGAGAATTTCCAATTTAAAGCTCTCTAGTTTGGATTTCTAGTTTAAAAAAAAAATTAGTGACCTTAAAGAATTTGACTTGTGTAAAGTGTGGTAAATTATGTTTGATGATACATTAAGGAGCTGTCCTTGGAAATATAAAAATTGCTGAAATGGAAAACACCAAGGGAATTCTTAAAATGCTCTTTAGTTTTATCCATCAGATCACTCTAAACATTAGATTGTAGTTTATTAGCCTAGAATTCACACACTCCTCTCTCCCTTCCAAGTGTGCTTTGGTCCTTATTTAAAAACCAACAGTGAGAGGTTGGCCGATTATATTTAAATCCACTTAAGAATAATGCACATGTAATCTAATCAGAGACTGCTGATGAAGCATAAAAGATGGCTTAGTAGGATTTCCATCATAGAGTAGCTGCAAGAACCATTTTTAAAGGTAGCTTACTAGTGATGGTGCTGACCTTAAATGTTTGGATATGCCCCCAGTATTCATAAGAGTTGAAAATATCARCTCTTCTTGGGCTGACTTCCACACTAGCCTGTTCCTGGCCTGGTGCTTGTAGTGATGACTTTACTTTTCCTTTCATTCTAGTATTACTTTTTTAAAAAAAAATCTTTAAGYTTTATCATTTCTTATTTATTTAGGAATAAGAAAGCCGTGGTGTATTCTTTTTCAAAAAACTTCTTCATACTGCACTATTTGGTTTGATCTATTATGAAGTATCTCTGAAGTAAAAATATATGGTGAGATGCTTCCCATTCCACTGATGTGGAAATTGGTCACAGGAGAAGTTGCTTCAGATCATGAAGAAAGCAGTTTGACCCACTGGTTAGCAATGAGTTGGATAAGTCTCAAGCCTTTCCTTTCATGGGGAAAGGTCTCCAGAGGTACTAATAATATGATTCCAGAGTTAGAAATATTAGCCCAACCCCTGACATCCAGGGAAAGAGGGGGACTGCARATTAAATTAAATCGTGAATGGGCAATGATTTAATCTCTAATAACTTATAATAAAGTTTCAACAAAGACTATGAAACAGAGRCTAAGGGAGCTTCTGGGTTGTTGAGAACATGGATATGCTGGGAGGGCATGTGCCTAGAGCAGGTGAAGAATCTGTTCTACCCTTCTTATTCTTTATACTGTAAATCTCTTCCATTTGACTGTTCCTGAGATGTGTCCTTTATAAAACTTTAACTGTACATATAGCAGTTTCCTAAGTTCTATGAATTATGAGCCTTAAGGGAGGGAACTTGTAGAATCCTTCAATTTATAGCCAGTCCTTCAGAAGTATGGATGGCCTCTTGGACTTGCAGCAAGCATCTGATATGAGAGCAGTACGGTGAGACTGAGCCTTTAAGACAATGACACTAACTCTTAGTAAGTAGTGTCAGAGTTCAGTTGAATTGTAGGAAATCCAATTAGTGTTAGAGAGTTAAAGAATTGATTGGTGTTGGAACAATACATTTGATGTCAGGGAAAAAAATCTGACTATGTTCCCTCCAAAGACTTACCCTGTGCTCTTTGTCAGTGGAGAACTGTTCATTCATCCTTCCAGAGTGCTTAGGTATTTTTCCATGGGCTAAGTCATCTTTGGATTCCTTGTAATTAATCTAAGCATGAATGTACAAGGAACCAATTATATGAAAACAAGTTTTGTTTATTTAAATGTTATTGATAGGGAGAGTAGAGATTATGAAAAACAAAGAAGTAATTTCTCTTAGTACTTTCTGTACATCAAAATGCCTGAATTTAAATTCTGAATTTTCCACTTTTTAGTTATCTGATCTTTTTACCCACCCTCTCAGGTTTAGTTTGCTCATGTGTAAACTGGATATAATAACAACACCTACTTCATGATGTTGTCTTTGAATGAACTGATTATTGGAAAACATTAAAGACATTACCCAATATTTGTAAACACTCACTAGAGTTACCTGCTGTTATTATTATTTTCATTATCAATATTGTTATATTGATTACTAATAAGATTATASTATAGTACATTAACTTATTTTTTAACCTAATTAATAGCACAAAGTATGACTTATACACTTTTTTGAGTACATATTTACTTAATATAAAAATCTTGCATGTTCTAGAACATTTATTTAATCAGAAGTTTCAAAGTTTTAAGAAGTTTAAAAGTGACTGAACCACTTGTAAGATTTCCTGAGAAATGATAAAGGAAATGCTAATGAGACATTAGAGGAGAGATCAAATAGACTAGGAGAGCAAAAGGAATCTCTTCTGTAATGCAGAAAGAGAACTTTGAATGAAGCAAAATAACCAWTTGGAAATGAGAAAAGTAAGTGAAACACCATGGACCTGATCAAATAAGTGTTCTGCTTGTGGAAGATTGACCAGCAGACACAAAAATGAAAGAGCATAACATAGGAWATGGATGTTACTACCATGAGCAGTGTACAGCAAGACATGGGGAACATGAGTTAAATAGATTGAATTCCTATACCAAATACTACCATTAATGGAAACATTTCATACAATCCATCATCTCAATTATTGCATTTTTTTTTCTTCTACCGGTGCTTTTGATTGAACCCCTGGCCACCTGCATGAGATGCATGCATTCTGCCTTGGAGGTACACTCCCAGCCCCAATTTCAACTGTGAAAACCACAAAAAGAGGATGCATGAGAAATAAACTAGTAAGAAAATATGCATGAGTATAATTTCAGAATGGCTTCATCACAGTGGGAACCTAGGTTAAAGTACCCTCATTCTTCAGAGACAAACAAATGTTATATGTGCCTCTATGAAGCGTTCAGTCATTGGACTTAATAAACATTGAATCTGAGAATTAGATTGCTAAATTTTTAATAACAGACTATGTTGCAGTGTTTTTTTAAAGCTATTTATGGCAATTTTAAACTATATGTTCTAAAAACTCAAACCCATTTTCTTAAACATTTAGATCCCTTTTAAGGATATTCCTTTCTTTATAGGTAATATTTGATTTGTCCCGTTCCTCAGGATTAATTCCAGGTCTGAAAATGACAAACTATATTGGATTAATTTTGTGAAACATTGTTTTATATAGTTTTCATTGAAAGGAACCAGAAATCTTTTGTTTTTCTTTTTTAAACTAAAATTCATCTTAAATCTAAAGCAAATGTACAGAAAGTTGGTTTGGGCCATTTTATTTTCATTGTTGGTAACTTTTGATTCTAATGTCATGTAAGATAGACAAGGCAAAGATTTGGGAAATTGTTCTTAATGATCTCTGTTTTGCTGTGCTGCCCCAATATGTTCTGATGCTGCCTCTGTGTCTTGGTTTACTATTGGTTAGTTGTGTGTGCTGTGAGAGCAAACTTAATTCCAAGAAGGAAAATATTAACTGGTAATATTAAATGCAAATTKTGCCCATAGCTTCAGTAAAGAAAGCTTGACATCTGTTATTGTAAATAGCCTCTGAGACCTTTTGTTTACTATTATGGATTAGCTCATACTTTAGAAGCCACTTTTCTTCATCTTTATCATCTATTCACTGTTTCCTCAAGAGATTCTTTTGAAACCTCAGAATTATATAAGCTTACTTTTAAAACATTGGTTTTCTTTGTCTATCTGAATAGTATGATTATTTTATAATATTTGTAGTGGTCAAGAGCTCTAATTTTAAATAAAACTTATTTCTTAAATGTTATTTATTCATGTGGACATTTCCTAAACTTCTTTTGTCTTATATTTTAAGTAATCTATTATTGACTTTATAACTTTTTTAACAAATTAAAAGGTTAAAATCTGTGATACTCAATTTTTAATAATAAATTTTCTTATGAGGTTTTAAAAAATGTTATGTTTCTAGATTGTACCTTTTATATATTATAATTTTGTCCTTTGGAGGCATTTAATATACTCTCTTTTAGTCTCTGTAGAAATGCTGGAAAAGAATTTGAAGCAGATGGGAAGGCAGCTTCAACAGCTTGAGAAAGATTTGGAAACCTTTCCCCCTCCTGAGGACATGCATGACAAGTTTGTGACAAAGATGTCCATATCCTTTTGATATCTAAATAAATTTAAGTCACTATCAAGTAGAAGTACAATTTTTTTAATGTTTTRAATGTCTTTATATAACCAAAGATGATTCTGAAGTGTCAAATTGTAGGTGTTTAACCTTTGCCTTCTTTYAGGAAAATTTAAGTGTTCATCATGAGTAACACACCATGTATTTCTATTGATTTTTTTTTCCCTTTCTTTTTATCTACTTGGATAACAGCATATTCTCCCATCTTCCCTCCATTCATTTGCCTTACTTTCTTGTGATGTTTATGATAAAGAATATTGAAACTCAAGAGAAGTTTGCGGGTAAAGCTATGATGAGATTTAGGTACTGTAGACATATTTCAGAAAACAGATATAGCCTGTATAAACTCATGGTGTGACTAGTCAGCTTCAAGGGTTGATATATATTAGAAATTAACTCATGATCCACAAAAATTAATACTTCATTTCAAAATACTGCACAGTCCAAGATCAAAATGAAGTTTGTCACAATCACTACTTAGGTTTATATTTTCTTCACCCATGCTAAATATGGCAGACACCATGGCAGATATATAAATTAATGAGACTGATTTCTTGCTTCATTTAAGGCTTTCTTTGCTTTCAGGTATCTTTGTTATCACTAATTTTGTAGCTTAATCGCTAATGAGTAACTGAAGTAATGAACTCTTTTTTTATTTCCTGAAACTAAAGTTGAATCATTTTGCAAACCATTATATGAAATTAAGAGACTGATATCTTTTGTGTTGTAAAGAAATATTATTACAATGAATTATTAAAATCCCATATGGGCTTGTGAATTCTATATGAAAGTGTAACCAACTTCTAAAATGAGTTCTGATAAATTGACACTCCTAATATTTTATTTTAAACTGAAGTACTTGAAATAAAATGACTACTTTTCCTCTTTCTACTACTTCTCCCTTGAGATTTAGTGAATCACAAAATTATTATTTGGCTTGTCATAGATTATATTGTATATGTTTTCAGCTTAATTGTGAATTACTTCCATTTTAGCTTCCTTCACTGTCTTTGTCGGGAATTATCATAAAATGCACTCCAGCAACAATCAATTTAGACTAATGTGGTTTGTTTCCTTTCATGTTTCTTACCCATTCCATTCCTTGTTTAGGGATTATACCTTTATCACTATAGTGAGTAAAGCTCTCATTTTTTGTTTTCTTTTTTAAACTAAAGTCTGTATTTATCCATCAAGAATACATTTTTGCACTACCTTCTTTTTCGTCAAAGATTGCTTTTTTAAAATAAATGTTATCGCAGTTTTAACAGTTTCATCATTCTTCCCTTCTCCTCCCCTCCCCAATCATCCTTCAATGTTAAAATACTCATATGTGAGTTTATCATTATGTCATTAAGTATTGTTAATTGAAATGCTTTTTTTKTGTGTGTGTGCCCTATGGGTAGAAACCATTTTAGTAAGGATTTCCACTATAACTTCTAGTAATATGTTGTGAGTGCGATAATTATGGAGCCTAGGCTTCTCTGCCTCACAAGAATGCCTGAGCTGGGAGTAAAGGTGGTAGGATCCTGCTCAGCAGACCATCTCAGGACATATTCATACTTGTATTCATGTGACATAATAAGCTGAATGATGTCGGCTTCTTGAAAGGTATGAAGCTCATAAAAAGCAACCAGCAGGAAATCAGAAACAGGAAGGATGATGCTTTGTTGGAAACAATTTTTCATTCTGAGTACAATTATCCTCCATGGACAAGAAAGCTACTATATCCTGTCGCTAAATATCACAACCTAGAAGCCTCTAATGAACTGATTAGCATTCATGTATCTCTTGGAAGTCAGATATATGAACAGTTGGTGCACTTTGCTATTGACAAAGCTTATAATCATAAATATTCTTTGCTGAGATTAGATTGCACTAGTTTGCTTTTCATCTTAGTAAGACACACTAGTTTTGAAGTAATTAAATTCATTCATTGCAAGACTTTGTTTACTTTAATTAGGACTGACAACAAGTCAGATTTTGAATATTAAACGCTTTTATACAGATCTTATTAAAATGGCAAATTGTGAGCCTCTAAGATCTTAGAAAATGGAAGCGTTTGGAAGCTAAAATGCACAATAAATAAAAATTTATTAAGTTTAAGTTCTTAACACTCAAACTTTATGTTTTATGTTTAAATGTTTATTAGTTGAGGTACATGTCAAATGTTTGATTCATCAACCAATTCAAAAGAATATATGCATTATTTAATTTGTTAAATATGAGTCTTTAGAAGTACATATTTACTTTAAACAATCATGATTTCCTGAACTATTAAATAATCTGTTACATGAATTGTTTTCAATTATAAATGTAGAATTTTGTTATGAAATTTCACTAATAGCAGTCAATTTACMGTATATTGTGTTTTTATTATTCTAATGCATGCTCTTTGTTAACATCTACTTTGTAACATGAAAATACAAATTTAGTACTTCCTTTAAAAGTCATGCACAATTATTTCATATATCATTGGCTTTTTCATAATAATTATTATTTTCCAGTTGCTAAGCCTGGTCAGAACTATAATTAGTGTTGAATAGTTCCACAGTAAATATTTACTTGAAAAATGTGGAATACAAATTTTTGGTAGGATCAACATTGTTGTTATATACAAGCTATTGTATTGTAGTACATACTTATTAAATTCTTACCAGTGAGAAACTAAGAAAATGCAATGATTTATGTCATGTAGTCCCTGTTCCTTTCTTTTGACCTTTAAATTCTTTAATAGTTCTTATTTTTAGGAAAATAACAAATAGATCTTAGAGCATGCCCTTGATAGTCTCCTTCCAAAGGCACTCGCTTTTCTATTTTCTTTCTACCCCCTCTCCTGAGTCTGAGGAAAAAAAAACCAAAAACAATCATTTTGTTAAACATTTATATATTTTTTATTTATCACCACTTATATGGCAAGTTACCTGATTCATTCCTGTGTTATATTTTWAAAAATTTCTTCATCCAAATCCTCCTTTATTTTCATACTTTTCTTTATTGTTGTTCCACTGTACAGGAATATTTTAGGTACCTCTTAAATTATGGGGTAGATGCCAAAACCATCCCCGTTAAACTCGTTGAAAGACTGATATGTCATGTATCTGTGTTCTGTACTACAGAAAGTACAGCATTTTCAGGTAAAGGCAATTAGAACATTTTTTCTTTAGTTGAATTACATCTAGAACGTAAAATATAAGATTGCAATGGATGAAATGTAAACCTGTGTAATGTATGATCACGATCCAGTTGAAGCAGTGGAAAAAGGGGGTAATTAAGTGAATTATTGTAGCAAATTTTTCTTCTCTTTGAGTTAGTCTTCTGTCTCCTTCCTTTCTTCTCTTCTTTTCTCTTTGTCACTTAACCCATTCTCAACAAACTTTTAAGATTCAGGTTAAATAGCCTGCTTTTTTTCCTCTATGAATCCTCTAATTTGTAATTATCTTTTCATTTCCTCAGTCTTATTCCATTTATATGAGAATGGTATACCACTTAGTGCTGGCTGCTCTTCTACCGTCATGCCTTGTTGTTTTAATCAGTTTAGCCAAGATTTTCTTGACTACCCAAATCAAGTTAACCTCTCTGATTTATATGACATCATAAAGTTTTATTTTCTTCCTTATACTTAGACTATGTGAAAATCTCATTTACTTATTATGTGCTTTCACAATCTAAGATGTATGTTTCACAACTGCAGGGACTGTACCCTCTAGAAGGGTGTTTGAAGTGCAGTGAACTTTGGGAATACAGACTGAAGGGCTGACTCTATCCTAGCACAGTGTAGCCAAATTATTAAACACAAGGGACTGATTGAAGCTGGTCCTTGGAAGACTTATTATTGCAGATGGCAGAAATACAATAATGAAAATWTAACCAGAGAATAAATGTGAAATATATGTCTGGTAGATAGTTTGGGAGTATGTACCACTGGCAGACCAGAAGAGAATTACTAAATCTGAGTCATGCTAAACATTAAATACTTGTATTTCAATCCATATGAACATAGTAGTCATATGTTTTTCAAATGGGAAGATTGCACTGATTCACTTAGAAATGAATGAGAATTTGTCCTGAGTTTCATTTAAGGTCAAGAAAAAAAATAGATTTCATAAAACATCATGCAGTTAGAATGTAAATATTTTTGCATGACTTTATTCAAAAGTATATTTCGTTGAGTATCTTACAATGTTTTTTAAAGTTCTTTGCATATATAGAATTTTATTCTGGGAAAAAGATAATTAAAGCCTAGCTATTGCTGACATGAATGTTACATTTATTTAGAGTTTAGCAGCTTCACTTATTTTTCTTTTAGATGATGATGATTTTTTATCTGGATCTTTCACCATCCCTTAATGAGAGTAGCCCTTCAGTACTGACATAGTGTGCCTCATTCGTGTAACCAGTTATTCCATCCTATCAGACAGTCATTTTAAACTTCCAAGGATTAATTTGGCTATTTCCAAAATTGTTTCAGTTTAATCACGATTTTGCCATTCTTGTGGGTAATTCCAGTTACTCAAAGCCCCACTTCATTTTCTTTGGCAGCAAATTGCTTTATATGTAATAATGATAAGAAAATTGACTTTAAAAGCTCTCTAGCTGTTAGAACAAAACCATGTCATTTCCATGCTTCTGGCTCTCAGTCATCTTTTTCATCACATCTTTTAATAAAATTGTTCTGTTTTATAAGTCTTCACAGACATTTCTGATATTTCATTACTTATGATTATTACCTGAAAATCTAAAAAAAGGTGTTTGCTTTATTTTCATTTGTTTACCAGATTCTCAAGAATAAAATTATCAGTATTTGTGAAGTACCTATTCTTAAAACTCAAAACCTTATAAGCAGTGATAGGGGCAGCAAAGGAGTAGTTATAGAATCATCTAATGATAGATGTTCTCCAAAATAATGTCATTAACCTATTTTCTAGGGTAGATAATCTTTAGTAATTCTGTTAGCTCTTTACATCCAAATTATGTGTGTGCCTATGCATGAATATGTGCAATTTTATGAGTAAGGCATTCCATGGATTTTTGTTAAGTAATTTTGGTGGACATTTGTTTCCTTTCTCCTCAAAGAGGAAGAATAATAATATGTAATTAGAACCAATGTCATTGCAGATGACTAAATGAAGTTAGATAGCGTCTAGAGAATGAACAGAAAGTAAGAGGTAACCACACTTGTTAGAAATGTGGTGAGAACAAAGCCCCACTAAAGAATTAAGATTAGAAAGGAAAACTCACAACTTAATTATAGATCTAGCAGTAAAAATATGCCATAAAAATTTCCAGGTAAGTGCAATAGACTACAAATGCTGTGGTCTACTGGTACAAATGGCTACTCAAACCTGTGGAGATTAGAGGAATGTATCATGGAAGAGAAAGAACTGAAGAAATTCTTCATTGGTAAGTTTCAACAAGAAAAGACAGAAGTAAAAAACTTTTCTTTTAGGTAGGAATTAAGATTATATAAATAATGCATGTTTTCCATTTGGGACATAAATAATTTTAGGTGAGAGCTTATTGATTATGTAAAACCATTTATAAATCAGTGTTGAGTTCTGAATGATTATTTCTGAATGTTTATTTCACGTTACAGATGAATAACTATATATTCTATTTAATAATAGTTTCTGCATGCATTTCAAATGTGATTTTTATTTACATAAATCCACKTTACCTATAATATTTCATGAATATTGATATTACATATGGAAACCTGTTTTATGTGATTCTGTTTTATGATCTCTTGCAATTTTGTGGTTTGACTAATTATACAAAATGTTTTGTTACTTATCCAAGAATTGCAGAGTGATATCATAAGGAAATGTACCAGTTACCGGCAGTATTAAAATCTAGACTAGAAAGTGTAGAGAGGCATGTTGCTATTTGAATGAACATAAAAGCTGAGTCACATATAGATCTTAAGGTCATTAAAAAGACCAGCTCTTGCCTTAGAATCCAGGTTCCCTGCCTTCTAGCCACTTTTCCTTCTGAAATACTACATATACTACTCAGCACAGCTTAGTATGAAAAGAAACAGAAATAGAAGGGAAACAGATCCCCTGGGGATCCACTGGCAGGGATTACAGAGTTGAGCTGTGACTGACTGGCTGCCTCAGGGCCTGTGGGGAGGTCAGGCTCTGATTTTTAGAATTGTTTCTTGTGTCCTGGATTCATTCCCTACCTGGCAGCAGCAAGGTCTCTCTTTGTTTATTGATTCTTTTATTCCCTTCCTCAAAATAAAGGGCCTGCCTCAGTTTCCTTATTTTGTTCTCTACTGGGAAGAACTTTTTTTAGTTGTGAGAATTTTTTTTTTCAGATATAAACATTCTATTTTAGGTTTCTTACWCATAGCCTGAATTCATTTAACTTAATTCAGTTTAAATTTTGCTAAGGTGTGTTTATACATGTACATTATTCAAAGATACTAACATGACTTCTGTGAATTTAACTCTGTATGTTCTGTTTCTTTGTCCCAATTTCAAGGAACCATAGGAAGTTATAACTAATCCTGTAAGAACAGTCTTTCAGAATATGGTATCAAGATCTTATATCTGATTGCATCAGCAATTTGTTGCACAGTGAAGGAAATGCCATGGTTTTGTTAAAACATATATTCAACTATCAGTGACTATCAAATTAAATTAATGACTAATGCCACTAAGTGCCTAGTCACATTTCTAAGAACCTTGCTAGTATTGACTCATTTACTCTTCACAGCAACTTTATGAGTTTGGTGGTATTATTGTTATTCCATCCTACAGATGGGGAAATCAAGGCAGAATGAGGGGAAGACTTTTCCACAGGTACACTGCTACCAGGTGTAGGAGGTATGAATTGACCCCAACTTGTCCAACTTCATTGCTGTACTCAATAGGGTCAATTGTTGATTTTAATATCATTCCAGTTACTCAATTTGAACTGCCAAGCTATAATTTCATGTTATAGATTATTAGTTGAGTAAATTGGAATTTTTTAAAACTCAGTTATAAAATAGAAGTGTTAAATATAAAAATATTTGAGTTTTCTGATATTTTGCCAAAGTTCATTAGAAATTAAATTTAAATGTTTTTTTCTATATCATCTAGACTGTCTTTGTAAAGATGACTGTTAAGGTAATCATGGAATTTTGTAGAGGAATAATGGTGACTAAAAATTAGACTGAAATTTTGGAGTGTATTTTCATGCCTAAAGCTTCATTTTGAAAATTACAAAATACCTTAACTATAATGTACAGCTTTGTTATCACTGCAAAAGAACAATATGGMAAACTTTCAAAGTTACTTGAAAACATGGAAAAATTGTACCAGAGTATAATGGTATATTATGCCATTGATATGAAGAAGGTATCTGTGGAAGACTTTTTTACTGACTTAAATAACTTCAGGACTACATTCAGGGTATGGCAAAAATTTTAATTGTTTTTTTTAAGTATTTTTCTCTATACTATCTCATCTGTTATTTCATTATTTCATTCTACTCATTGTTATCTGTAACAAGTAGCAAACATGCAACATTCTGATGTTGAATGTTACCTTTAAAATTTCAGATTTTAAATCTATTGAAAAATATGTGGTTTGTTCTCTTTTTGGCCTTTCCAACATTAAGCTTTAATCAGCAATTGTGATTGAAAAAGTGACAAATTCTGAAGTTTTTCATAAAGGCTCCCTCCTGGCTGATTACAGAACTCTTTTGTAATAAGTTTTTGGCTATGAATTTGTTTCTTTATACTTAAGATCGATTTGTATTTTTGTGGTATAATTTTACCAAATTCCATGCAGCTCTTATGAAGCTTTTTTCCTTTTCTTTTCTTAATGCATTGTACAATAAGCTACCTGTGATTTTCCTTTGAATAGATTTTACATTCCTAGGGTTTCCTTCAGATAATTTAATAGGGAGGTCAGGTCTTTGATGTGGAATCCTTTCATTTAGGCATTAAAAAGATCTTTTGAAAAGTATTAGCTGATTAGATGAGGTGGGGGGGGGAACCACACACATAATAAATTGAGAAGGCATTGTTGCCTCCCTAGGGAAACTGGTGATATACTTCTACAAGGAAAAAAATGTTATTCTTAATAAATGGGTAAGTCATTTCTATATTTCAGCAAATGTTTGTAAGGATTAAAAAGTTTGGAGGCATAAAGAAAAAGAAGATTGAATTTTAAAGAACTGGTTCTTATAAATCCTAGGAAAACTTTATTGCTGACTTTCTTGGACTTGGTTATAAACACTTAATAAAGATTAGATAGTCTTATAATAAAAACCCATAATTTTAAAGAAAAAMCAGTCTACAGTAAATACATATTTACTCACAGCTCCAGTTTATTTTCTCCACAAATTCAAAGTGATTCTTTAAATTAGGTTTTTCACCATAAGACGTGAATTTTGTGGTTAGATTTATATATATTATGATGTATCTATGTCATATTCTGTACAACATATTGTTTTAAATTTTATGTTTTCTGAGGCAGCATAGCTTGGTGGAAGCAGTTCAAAAATCTCTGTAATCTGAGAGAGCTAGATTTGAAGTCCACCCCAATCATGTGGCTATGAACACTCATTTAACCTTCCCGAGCCTCAGTTTCCATATTTTTAAAAGAAATGTTAATCTTCTTCCTTGAAAGACTGTATAATTGTTAAGTGAAATGATATATCAAAATAGTTTCTGGCAATCTTAGTTGCTCAATAAATTTTCATGCAAGAAAAGGTTATTTCAAAGGGTGCTGGGTGCTCATATAACTTCTTATTCCAAGAAAAATCTAGCTCTTTGTCTTCTGAGAGAGTACCTCTAAGCCCTGGAATCTCCTGCCCAATAAGGGTTTATTTATACACCTAGAATCTGARATCAACCTAGATGGACTATGCTAACAGGTGAACACCAATTTTTGATCATGAGGTGCCCTGGACTACACTGTATCATTGTTGGTCTCTTGGGGGCCTGGAGACTGAGTAGCTCAGATCCATCATACAGGCAATTTATTAAGTTCTTGACATCAGGGCTCAGGTGAAATTCCCTCTTTGGCAGTAATTCCTTTGTGCATGTTGTAACATATTATTCCTAGGATAATAAGCCCTGTTGGATTTTACTGGGAGGAGACAACTGCAAGTTGCACCTGCTTTAGCCAGGACTCTGCCCTATATAGCTTTTTCCTTTATTGATTTTTTAATAGTTATTTTTTAGTTCTAGTTGGACACAATATTTTATTTATTTTTATGGTGCTGAGGATTGAACCCAGTGCCTCGCACATCCTAGGCAAGCACTCTACTGCTGAGCCACAACCCCAGCCTCCTCCTTTATTGATTTTAATCTTGTGTTTCACTTAATAAACTATAACAGGAGTATAATGCCTTTTTCTGAGTTCTGTGAATCTATCTAGCAAATTATCATACCTGAGGGTGATCTTGGGGGGATCCTTGACAATTACAGGATAAAATGGATATATGATAATAATAATACACTTCACATATTATTTTCTCTGAATGCATGATTGTCTATGGTCCATTCTTCTAAATTCTGAGTCAAACATCTCAGTGATTCAAAAATTTTTAGCTTTCACCGTCCTTGTGTAGCAGATGAGGAAACTGAGACAGAAATAGAACATATCTAGCTCAGTGTCATACTGCTATAAAATGATGCAATTAGAATTTGAACTCATGTATTCTTCCACAAGAGTCTTCACTCAAACTGAATGGCTCTGCCTTCTGTATTCTGTAGTTTGTGTTCCACTTTAGAAATAAGAATACTGGCATTTGGGGAATTTCCTAATTATATGAAACTGATGTTGCCTATAGGTTACTGAATTGGGATTTGAATCCAAGTCTAATTCCAAACCTTCTCAAGTTTTAAAAAGATTACGGGGCTTTATGGCATTCTATGGATAACTTGAAATCTTCACTACTAAATAGTGGATTGAGGGAGAAAGTATTTGAATGAGAGCAAAGGGCAAAAAAAAATGGGTAACAGAGTGCCTTCTCTGTTTTACCTATTTCAGAGTCTCATATGTTGTAGAAGTAGGTGCTGTCAAACTTTCATGCACACACTACATGAAATTAAAATTGTTACTACTAAGCTTAAAGTATCTAAATAAGAAATAGTTCTTCTTGGAGAAGAAATTTTCTTCAGACTAAAATAAGAATAAAGAAGACTGAACATGAAATGGTTATATAAATGTGGTGACACTTCACGTATGCATTTTTTTGTTCTCTTTTATTTTTTATTTTTTGGCAGGGATCGGTGTATATGATTATCTTGCTTAAATTTTGGGAAAAAAACATATCTTCAAAAATTCCAGTGTATTAATATTGACTAAAATTAGTGACAAATCCCTTGTTTAGTCAGTGTTCTGATTTCTTAGGAGATTGCTATTTAGTAGTTTCATATTATTCATCTTTGGGAACCAGATTAAGWTGAATAAATCAGTCTTCAGAAAATATTTGTTCTGTAGCTACAGATGTAGAATTTTAATGTACTGAAAGTCTGTTCTAGAAACTCATGTTAATATGATAGGCAAAAATATATATTTTATTTTAAAAATACTATTAAATATTTCTATTGTTATTTTATCCATTGGCATTTAGGTGTCCTCATGGTCTTGAAAAGCAAGTTTTACTATAACATAAAGGTCCATTTTATTTTACATGAAGTGGGTTTGGAATTATGTCCTTACTCCACACACTTTTGGCAGTTTTCCATACATGGAATATTTCTGCCTGGATTTGGGTTGCTTTGCATACTGCTTGCTCTGCTGGAGCACTCCATAATTGTCTGGCTAAATTATACTTACCCTCTGACCTCTGTTCTAAATTTGCTGCCTCTCATAAAATCTGTGTCTATCTTATTTCCCTTTGTGTCTCTATGGTGTGTCTCATGGCATATAATAAATTTGTTGAATAACAGATGATCAATGAGTGGCATGCTTTAGTAACTAACACATGTAGTACCAGCCATTTTCCAGGGCTGTAACCACTCATGTAATCCTTCCCCAAACTAGATATGGTATTCCTGTGGTTCCTCTTTTACAGATGAGAAAATTGAGGCCCACAGAGATCCTGATTTGCCCATCATTGTACAACTAGCAAGGAGCCAAGGTGCTGGCCCAGGCTTTGTGGCTCCAGAGTCTGTACTGTATATGACTATATTCTTTTAAGTCCTATTAAATGTGCAACTGCTCTAATTTGTATAGATATAGCTCTTCAGTGATTTTTTTTTTTTTTTTTTTTTTTGGTGCCATGAGAGCCTTGTTACAATAGCTAAAGAGTTCCGAACATCTGTGTAGACCAAGGGGGAAAATTTTCAAAATCTTGTAGCTTCTCTGAAGAACAGCTGCTCATTTTGACAGCAGTTTAACTCACCTCTCTTACTTGAGAATTCTCATCTTGAAATTAACTTTTTGTTGTTGTTTTGTTTATTTGTAGAACAATCTACTGTAGGTAGTTATGCCAGTGGGGAGTCATTTTATTTATAACTGCAGATCCAAGGTGGCCAGAAAGAGGGAGTAAGTTTCCATTATAATTTCACCTAGCTTCATTTTTGTTAGCATTGTCAGCAGGACAAAATCAGAAACAAATGCCACTGATTGAGTACTAGCTTCTTTCTCAACCCTGTGCCAGGTGCTTTACATGTAGTGTCCCACTTAGTTCTCACAGTGTTTTGGGAGGTATAGCACCTTACAAGAGAGGTGACTGCACAGTAGCAAAGGCTCATGCCATCTCAGGGGCTACATTTGAACTCATGCTGCCTTGACTCCAAATCCTGTCCTTAGTCCACTGCTGCTCAGAGAGTTTGCAGGAAAATTTAAGGTTGTAATTTTTAAGGGTKTTTTTGATGACAGGCTAGAGGGTGTCCGCAGAAGACATATTTTATTTTCTGACTCTGGTACAACAACGTTCTCTTTGCATTGATAGGTTCATTATAGAAAAATATTTTGGGGGCTACTTTGGTTTTAAAACATAAAATATCCTCTCAGAGGACAGAATGTGAAACCTGATTTCAGGGGTAGAGAAAAGGTGAAGGCTAGAGAGTCAGCACCACCTTTCTATAATAGATTTTTGTCTCCTATAGGACTTGTATGAAACATAAAGTTCAGATTGGGGCTAGTAGGTAGAAATTCCTGACCTCTTGTATAAGCTGAATAAATCAGTGGCCTTTCAGACATTAAGCTTTATATGAGGTGAAATCCATGGCTTTAGGAGCACAGTGCTGTGTAGCAATAATCATCATTTTACATTCGTGAGTGGTTTTAGACTCATTACATGCCATTAACAACCTACCTGTTATTAATAGATGATATCATGCTCCTGTGAGATGAATTGAGCTCATTAGGGAATTTTTGTTGGATCCTGCTAACAACCTCCTATCCTTCTTTATCTTACTCAGCAGTGTGTTTCTGTTTGTCCTTTG